TTTCTGAAAAAAAAAAACAAAAAAAATAAAAATGTAGGTAAATAGGGAATTTTGTTTCTATTTAATGGTTTGATGATAAAACGTTAGTTCCTCTAAAAAAGATAGTTAACATTATGAAAACAAAATAATCAGGATGCTTTGTAAGTAAAATCGAAATTTGTGTTGAGATTTTCGAATGTGTATTATTTTAACTAGTGCAGTTAGTAGTGCAAAATATCGAATGTTGAAGCATCAAAAGAAACAAGAAAAAAACAACATTGGTAAATGTCAATAATGTCCCGATAAAAGTAAAAATGCCTAAGCACAAAAATAGAATTTTTACTCCATGGCGCTGAAAGATAAAACTTACAAAGTGGCCACTCTTGTAACATTTGCAAATAAAATATAAGGTTTTTAAACCTCATCCTAATAATTTCACACATTTATGAAAATTATTATTGAAAATTAAATTATTAATGTGTAGAAATCCTAATAACGTTTATAAGAAAGACAAAAAAACGGAGACTTTTTGCCTAAAGGTATCAAAAAAATTTGTATAAATAAAATGTTTACAAAAAAGACTAAAAAACTTAATAGTAGGAAAATAAGAAAAATTTTATTATTTATAATAATTTTTTGACAAAAATTTAGGTTTTCAGTGAAAAAATTATTATTTGTATAACAAGACACTGAAGGTGAATTTGTTTTTACGGTAATGGAGAGGAAAAATAAAAAATATACAATATCTGAAAAAACTAAAAATGTAGTTAAATAGGGACAAAACGTTAGTTTCTCTACCAATAGATGAAAAGATAGTAAAAATTATGAAAACAAAATAATTAGGACGCTTTGCAAGTAGAATCGTAATTTTCCAAAGTATATTATTAATTCAACTAGTGCAGTTAGTAGTGCAAAATGTCGAATGTTGATGCTGTAAAACTAAATCACCTTGACATTTATGACATTTTTTGTGACGTTTGCGGACAAAATGTTCATTTTATTAAATAACAAACTTTTCAGTTCAAATCTGTGCGAGAAAACTTTGCTTCACTCCCACAACGTCGCGCAAACCTACACTTAAACAGAAAACAACAAAATACTTTTATTTACAACCAGTAACCTAAATAAAGCTTCATCGAAACACAAAACTCATTTATTTCACAATAAAAACCTAAAATTGCAACATAACTTGATAAATAAATGGTAAAATGAATAAAAATCAAATGTATTTCGTGGCATACAAGTATTTTGTTGTCGATGATTGGGTCCCGTTTTTGTAGGGACATGAGTGAGTAATACATAACATAAAATAAGAAATTATTGAATTTGTACTAAATATACAAAAGACACTGCTTAAAACATAACTTCATCACAGAATTACTATTTAATTTAGTATAGGTATATTACGAGAATATGCAAAATCTATACAACGTTCACATGTAGTCTATCCACTCGATTTCAAATTTTTAAAATAAATCTTGCCTTACGTAGCTGTTATCATTAAAATCACCACACCTTCTAAATAGTCCTTGAGGCAAAATCAGCCAATAAATGGCCCAGTTTTCAGTCTCCAAGTCCCAAAGCGTTTCATACTTTGTTACGAAGCAATTGGTCATGTTGTTGCTGCAACAACCAATCAGAAATGGTCAAATCGCCTCAGCCTACTCACTGTTACTTCCGTCCGGTTTGAGTACGACATTGGTGATAATTGAGGCGACGTCCTTTGTCGTTTACTCGTCGTGTAAATGTTGTTGGTTCCTAATTCAGTACTGGGAGGGCGTTTGTTGTTAGCAGTCTTTAATTTATAGTATGGTTTGGTTGGGGAATTTTCAGTCGGTGTTGAGCAGTCTTGATTCTCATTAACATTAGCGTAAACGTGGGGGCTGGGTGTTGAGCGCTGGTCGGAGCCCGGCGATGGCAAGTTGGCTATGAGGTGGACGATCGCAGCTTCGACTTGCTGGGGGTCCTCGACGGATTGCGAAGAGGAGTCGTTTGAGCCACTCGAAGTGATCTGAAACACATTAAATGAATATTTTTATTTCGATTGGAAAAAAATACTCACTGGACAACTCTGCGAATTTATCAAAGCGGAGTATCTCTTCTTCATTTCGTTTATTAATTGAAGGCCTTCTTGCTCACTCACTAATGTATTAATACAAACAAAACTTTCAACTGTTCCTTGGTCGTCTATTTCTAGATAACCGAATGTTCTTAAATAGATAAACTGTCCATTGCGGGAGAGTAAACGGTAACAGGATGATCCTTTGCTCTCCCCTCGGTCATACACTGGAAGCAAAACAAATGTCTAAATAAATTGCAGATAAAATATTAATTCACCTAAATTAATTAAATTTTGGACCCAAAAAAAGTAGTAACAATTACGTTATCTTTCCATAATTTGTTAATTAATTATGAAAAAAAAATATGGAAAATTTATTTCACTGTATTGTAAAACAATTTTTTTATGGAAACTTTTGTTAAATTTTAATTAATCATAAAATGTGTACACAGTGGTCAATAAATAATTTTAATTTTTGTTCTGTTATTAGATTCTTATTATTTTTTAATAATATTGTCGTAGGTAAGGTTGAATTTTTTAAGTTTTTTTATTTAAATTATGAAATAATCTTGTTAAAACTGAATATATTTTGTTTTTTGTCAAAATGCTCAAACATGTCATTTTTTATAGACAATTTTATATTTGATATTGTTTTTGGGTAATGACATCGAGATTTAAAAAAAATAGAAACCTTTATTTTTTAGCCATTTCGATAGATCTTTTAATTGGCGAAATGACACCAAAATATTAAATATTATATAGTTTTCAAAAAAATCATCCAACAAATGAAATAATATCAACATAAAATATAAGGTTTTCAAATCTTATCC